AAACAAGCAATGGATGACTTATTAGTCAACATTTATGGTGATCCCTTCAAACAAGTGCAAGCTTATCGCCAAATGTCTTTTTTATTACGAAGACCGCGCGGTCCGCAAAATCTTATCCAAGAGATGTTTTTGAGTTTTAGTATCATAAGCATTTCGTTATAGGATTATTAATCGAACATTATAAGACATGGTAGGAAGTATTCCTTGAAACTTCTTTCTGGAAAAATATATGATAATAACCAGATATATGTAATAATCCGACCGGTCGTTTCGAGAGTTGTAGCCCCGTTCCCCTATTTTACTGCTTCTTATGTACTCTACACCTATTATATGACTTACCGCGTCAGTTGGTTCGGGTCCGGAGAGATTTCGGAATGAATTGAGACACTTAGTCTCATAATGGAAAGCTTAAGTTAGAAAAGTTAACCGGATATTGACTTATGTGTAAACAACTCTGGATTTGAGTTTTGACAGTTCCGTTAGCTCCGTTGAGTGATTTTGGACTTAGGAATGTGTCCGGATTATGATTTGGAGGTCCGTAGTAGAATTAGGCTTGAAATGGCAAAAGTTGAAATTTTGAAAAGTTTGGCCGGGAGTGGACTTTTTGATATCGGGGTCGGATTGGATTTCCGAAAGTTGGAGTAGGTTCATGGTGTGTTGTGACTTGTGTGCAAAATTTGAGGTTAATCGGACGTGATTTGATAGGTTTCGACGTCGTTCGTAGAATTTGGAAATTTTAAAGTTCATTAGGCTTGAATTGGGGTGCAATTCGTGTTTTTGATGTTGTTTGAGGTGATTTGAAAGTTCGACTAAGTTCGTATGAGGTTTTAAAACTTGTTGGTATGTTTGGTTGAGGTCCTGGGGGCCTCGAGTTGATTTGGGGGGTTAATGGATCAAGTTTTGAAGTTGAAGAGTTGCTGAAGAATTTTAACTGCTAGTGTAATCGCACATGCGGAGTGGGCACCGTAGGTGCGAGCCCGCAAAAGCGGGAAGGGAGTCGCAGAAGCGGGCAAGGAAGAGATGAGCAGATGTCGCATGTGCGAAGATTCTTCCGCACCTGCGTGGTCGCAGAAGCGGGGTGATAGGCGCAGATGTGGGTGAGTACGTAGGTGCGATAGTCTGTTCCGCACCTGCGATTGCACAGATGCGGTCCAAGGCTCGCAGAAGCGGAGGCAGCTAGGTAAGTGAAGTCCGCAGAAGCGGGTCCGCAGGTGCAATAAGCGGCCGCAGGTGCTAAAAGCTTGGGCAGAATATAAACGTTGGGTTCTGAGGGTTTTTCTTATTTCTTGATTGCAAACTCGAAATTGGGCGCTTTTTTAGAGAGATTTCGAAGGGATTCTTGAGGTAAGTCACTTGTGGTTAAATTTCTTTAATAATTATGTTTTTCCATTGATTTCCCCACCTAGTTGGTGTGTTTTTGAGGTGTAATTTAGGATTTGAGGCTAGGAATTTGGAGAGTTGATTTTGGGGATTTGAGTGTCGATTTGGTGTCGAATTTTGATGAATTTGGTATAGTTGGACTTGTAGTTGAATGGACTTTCGAGTTTTGTGACTTTTGTTGTATTTCGAGACGTGGACCAGGGGGACAGTTTGAAGCCGATTTCGGATTTTGATTTATAATTTTGTATTTTCTTGTGGAATTGATTCTTTAGCCCGTATTGATTATATTGTACTGCTTGTGGCTAGATTCGGGATGTTTGGAGGCCGATTTGAGAGGCTAAGGCGTGTTGGAGTAGAGTTTTGCTCGGATTAACGTAATTAACACTTCTAAACTTGGTTATGAGGGTTCAAAACCCCGAATTATTTGTTATGTGATTGGTATTGAGGTGACACACATGCTAAGTGACGGGCGTGCGGGTGTGCACCGTGAGAATTGTGACCTGGTCGATTCCATGGCACTGTATAGTGGTTCTATCTTGTTGATATCCGTGTTTTCATCATGTGATAAAGTAATTGAGCTGTCAATCATGCTAGAGATCATGTTTAGGCTATATGTCGGTACTGTTGGAACCCAGAGTGGTCGTTTCTTGCTGTTAACTTACTGATTTCATTGATATTTTGTACTCAGTTACATTCATTCATTTCATATCATATCTCAGTCTCTGTTGTTATTTATTGATACATCATATCATCATGTTGGGGCTAGTTTCATGACATTGTGAGCCCATGAGAGAGACTAGAGAGATTGATGACTGAGTGAGGCCGAGAACCTGATTATGAGTGACATATATGGGATCGGGCTGCACGCCACAGCAGTTATACTGATTTATGATAGCGCTTGGGCTGAAACAGCCCTACGGAGTCTGCACACACCCCTAGTGAGCGCAGTTGATATTATTGAGGGATGGATCTTCCCTGAACATGGATCTTGTCTGTAGCATTATATATCTGGAGATGGATCTTCTCCACGGGCTGGATTAGCCCTACTCAGTACTGGTGACTGATGGTCAGTGATGTATATATTCCGGGATTGATTTCCTTGGGTCATATGTGTCATATACAGTACCGAGTGATTGAGTATTTGAGAGTGTGAGCACATGAAGCTGTCAGCATGGTGCATCACATACAGCATGTGCATTGGAATATAGAAGTAGAGGAGTTATATTCTTCATATCATTCAGAATTGATCTATTTTACTGTTTTGAGTTATCTATTGAACTTGAAAGCATGCCTACGTTTCTGCAATGCTATTTCTATATTGAACTGTGCCAGTTGAGTTCGTCACTACTTTCAGTCCAAATGTTGGATTTGTTATTTATTGAGTTGGTTATACTCATGCTACACCCTGCACCTCGTGTGCAGATCCAAGTGCTTCCGGTCACAGCAGCTGCTGAGTGAGGAGTCGGGATCTCGGGAGACTATCGAGGTAGATGCATGGCATTCGCAGGCCTTGACTCTCCTTCATTATCTTCATTTGTATTTCAGGTCTTATTCCTTAGATATTGTAGTAGACTGTATCCCGGTATAGATGCTTATGTGCTCGGTGACACTCCGATTTTGGGAGAGAATTGTATTGAGTTGCGAACTTATTTCTGCTTACAAAAGGTTTTCTTTTAATATTAACTGCTTCTGTGTAATTTTCAAAGCTTTTATTTGGTTGAATTGGTTGAATAGTTGGCTTGCCTAATTCCACGATAGGCGCCATCACGACGGGTGGTTTTGGATCGTGACGATACGGTTCTCTAGTAGTAAAACCAAGAACTAAAGAAGACATTTAAGAGACGAGAAAAACAGAAACACACCTCTTTTCCCTTTTTTCTCCATTTCCATCTTAAAGTTCTATGCACAATACACAACCTTTAAAACACTTCGTGACTAAATGTAAGTTTTTTGATAATGTATTACTGAAATTAAATACAGTGATTTGTTTTTCCTTGTGTTTTTTTTTTTTTTTGATATTTTGTCTCGAACTATTTATTTTTACTTGAATAGAAATACAATTTTAATACTTCTGTATAAAATAACGATTAACTTATGAACTTTATATAGGGAGAAATTCAAAAATAGTCAGATTTACAAGTGGTCGTTCAAAAATAGCCCAGTTTTAAAAGTAATCGAAATCTAGCCACTTTTCATGTAAAGATAAATCTGAGCGAAAACACTATTCAAAACCCGGAAAATACGCCAGTATATTATGCTGGAGTTCCAGCATAAGTATACTTGAACTCCAGCATATTATATTGGAGTTCCAGGATAAGTATGTTGGAACTCCAGCATAATATGATGGAGTTCCAGCATAAGTACACTAGAACTCCAGCATAATATACTGGAGTTCCAGCAAAGTATACCGGTCCAGTATAATATGCTGGAAGTTCATACACAAGTGCTCGAATCTCCAGTATATTATGCTGGAACTTTCCATGTGTTGGAGTTCCAGCATAATATGCTGGAAGTTCATACACAGGTGCACCGAACTCCAGTATATTATGCTGGACCGGTCTCTGTTGCAGTAAAATAGTGGCTATTTTTCATTGACTTAGTAAACGCTGGCTATTTTTGAATGACCAGTCCGAAAACTGGTTAGACCGTACTATTTTTACCTTTATATAAGCACTTCCTAATGGTTGAAGGTGCAAGTCTAAGTAGAATATTAGGCTAAGACCATGGCCCATACAACACCCATTAGGGCTTGGACAAGGAAAACTAGTCCATGGGCCTAAGCTGGGCAGTTCTGAAATGAAAAATATATATTTTTAGTCGCTTCAAAAAATAATAGCTTATAAAATATAAGTGTATTTTTTGTATATATGTAAATTATATACATATATATATATATATATATATATTTATATTTATAAACCTTTTGGTAGCGAATGCAATTAATTCGGCTGGTCGGCCAATTTTATATTTTGGCCTACTGAAATTCTGATTTATCCCAAGCACGATTTCTCTATTTTGCCTATATTTTTGTGAATAATACTCCACTATCACATTTTGGGTAACATAATTTAATTGAGTCCATTGTCATAGGACTTGAACGCATAGCAATTCACTGACCTTATTTATCCCATTCATAGACTTGAGGGTCGAGCCGTACTGAGTCTAATCGAGCCGAGTTTGATCGAGCCCAATCCATTATTAAGCAAAGTTTGAGTCGAGTCTAATCGAATATTTTACAGTATCAAGACGTGCTGAGCCTAATGTTACAGTTCCGTAGCAAATTCATGCCAGGTATATCAACCCTGATATGATAATTCGAAGACATAAAGTAATAATATGTTATGATTAATTAAATTACACTTAATTCGAAACCTCAACTATGTACAGACCTGTCAACTGCACCTCAGTAACCTTAATTCCTAAAGTGAAGAATCCTTCTTCAGTAAAGGAATTTAGGCCCATTTCATGTTGTTCTGTACTTTATAAACCGATCTCCAAGATCCTAACCACCAGATTGCAGAGCGTGATGGGTGACCTCATAGATTATAGCCAATCAGCTTTTGTGCCCGGGAGAATGATAAGTGACAACATTATCTTAAGTCACGAACTAGTAAAAGGATATGGAAGAAAAGGGATCTCTCCAAGATGTATGCTAAAAGTGGACATGCAAAAAACATATGATTCACTGGAATGGAAGTTTATTGAACAAGTACTGATACATATGAACTTTCCTAATTTGTTCATACAGTGGGTCATGGAATGCATAAGTTCAATTCCATACTCTATTGGCATTAATGGATGGCCTACGGAGCCATTTGCAGCTAAAAGAGGATTGAGGCAAGGGATCCTATATCCCCCTTCCTTTTTGTTCTTGCTATGGACTACTTTTCCAGAATGTTGAAAGGACTGAGTGAACAACCAAATTTCAATTATCATCCCAGATGCCAGAAAATGAATTTGATACAATTAGGCTTTGCTGATGACCTATTATTATTCTGTAGGGGTGATTTAATATCAGTTCAGATGCTTTATGACTGCTTCCAGGAGTTTCCTCAGGTATCTGGTTTGATAGCAGATAAAGAGAAAAGCTCTATCTACTTTGGAGGGGTGAGAGATGAGACACAAAGGGCTATAATGGAGATGATTGGGTTCAGTAAAGTGGAGATACCATTTAGATATTTGGGTGTACCACTCAGTACAAAAAGACTGTCAATCAAATGCCAACCTTTATTGAAAAAATACTAGGAAGGATTACAAACTGGACAACAAAGTTCCTTTCCTATGCAGGAAGGGTTCAGTTGATAAAAAATGTTCTTTTCTCCATTCAGATTTACTGGTCGCAGATTTTTGTTCTGCCTACTAAAGTGATAAAGCTGATCGAAGCTACATGTAGAAGATTTTCTTGGACCGGAGGGGTGGAATTGACAAAGAGAACATTACTTGCTTGGCAGAAAGTATGTTATCCTGCTAGTGCTGGTGGACTAAATATCCTAGATATAGCTATATGAAACAGAGCAGCGATTAGCAAGCTATTATGGAACCTATGTTGTAAAAAGGATAAAATCTGGGTTAAGTGGGTTCACAACTATTACATCAAGGGTGGACAAATTTGGGGTGAAGTACCTAAACAAGCTTTATGGGTAGTGCAAAAAATTGTAAAGATACAAAGTTATGTCCAGCATTCCGGGATCGTGGAAGAAGACTTAAAAAGCATGACAGCCTTCTCAATCAAGAAGTTGTATCTAATGATGAGAGGTGACTTTCCAAAAGTTCAGTGGAGGAAAATGGTTCAACAACTATGGATCTCCCAAATGGATCTTTATCTTCAGACTAGCAGCTCATGGGAGATTGCCCACAAAAGATAGATTGATGAACTGGGGAATTGTTGACAATCAAATATGTCCATTATGTGCTTCTCAGACAGAAAGTATATCCCACCTATTTTTCCAATGTGAAGTTTCTGCACAGGTATGGAATAGTTTGCTGCAATGGCAACAAATTGCGAGAAAAAATATGAGTTGGCTAGAAGAGCTGAAGTGGGCAGGAATCCACGCCAATGGAAGAAGTCCGGGTGCTGAACTCTATAGAATGACCTTGGCAGCATGTGTATACCATCTATGGATTGAAAGAAATCAAAGGGTCTTTCAAGCTAAGTATACTGGCCATAGGAGCATTGTTAGAAGAATCATCCAAGAAGTATTCTACCGAGGATCGCAAAGGAGCAGACTAATTAAGGAACTCGATAAGCTGAATTTTTACCCTTAATAGCTTAGTCTGTGGAGAGTAATTAGGGAGGATTGGTTGTTATAGTTGCTAGGAGTGGCCTGTATTTTTTTTTTTTTTTTTGGTTAGTGAGAACTCATCCCTAGACTTTCCTTGTTATTTGTACTTACTGCCTTTGGTAATAAAATCTTTTATTTACCAAAAAAAAAAAAAAATTACACTTAGCATAATATTCTTACATTGATAGTATATAAGACTTAAAATTCAATACAATTAAGGATAATTAGTAAAGTCATTTGCCAACGACTTTCTTCTTGATGTCATTTGCAGTGTCCTTGACTTTATCCCATGCACCTTTCTCCTCTTGTTCCGTTGCCTTTTCTAGTGTCTTCTTTGCCATCTCTGAGATTACCTAATTAATCAATATAACATCGCAATAACCATAACTTATTCTCCATAATAACGGGTAAATAAAAAAATTATCCTATATTGAGTCCTTTTATAACCAGTGATAACTTCATACACGTTGAATCTTTTTCATAATTTATTTACGAACACATGTCATGCAAAGGACGAAGCTCGGTCAAATTGAGTAGTTTTTGTCCAAAGTCCAAATCATATATGTGTGAAATTCATTGAATATATATTAATTTAGAATTCAATAAATTACAGGGATTAGAATCTCGAACCCATAAATTTCAAATTCAGACGCCGCCTCTGTACTTATGCACCTATTAAAAAAAGGGCAACCCGGTGCACTAAGCTTCCGCTATGTGCGGGGTCTGGGGAAGGGCCGGACCACAAGGGTCTATTGTATGCAGTCTTACCCTGCATTTCTGCCAGAGACTATTTCCACGGCCTGAACTCGTGACCTCCTGATCACATAATAGCAACTTTACCAATTACGGCAAGGCTCCTCCTATGCACCTATTGATTTCATATAAATATCTGATGCAGATAAGTTAGATAGCTGAAAAGACTTACATTTCCAGCACTAGAAGAAACTGTCTCTTTGACAAATTCGCCCACACTCTTCACTTCTTTAGCCCCTTCTTTCACTGCCTCTGCTGCTTCTATTATCTTTTGGCAAGTCTCTTTATCAATCTTAATTTCCCAAAAAAGGAAGCAAGAAAATGTTCACATTAATGTTAATATATAGATTTGTCAATATTTAAGAAGAAAAATAGAGTCTAAAAAACTGAAATAAATATTGTAAAACTCACTTTTTCAGAAGGTCTTGTGGCACTAACAAAGTCTCTACAAATCCATACATTTCCAGTCACAATTATTAATCTAGTAGAAATACAATTGGACATGGTGGCTATAACTTTCAAATAAGCCATTTTTTTCTTTTTCTTCTTGATTTGGTAATTCTTAATTTTGTTTGCTCAGGCCAAAGAATGAAGTTGAAGTTTCTTTTTTGTTTTATTTCTACGTTATTGCTAGTAGTTGTATAAAATTGGAGGTGGAAGCAAACTATGAAACCACCTGTCTCTTTTTGAGGGTTTTGTTGCGAAAATGGAGATAAATTTTCTATGGTTAATAACTGTCAGCTAACCTTTTGAAGAAACAAGATTTATTTTATTTTATATTTTTGATAATTGTAACATTGTTATAACAAAATTGTATTTATGGTGAATGCCTATATTTAGAGAGATTCTAGGGTTCATTGCTTGGTGGCTAAGTCACCCTCTCCCTATAAATAGAGGGTTCTATTCCATTGTAATTCATCTCAAATCAATAAGAATTCTCTCTCCCTACTTTTCTTTGCAATACTGTTCTTCTTCTTTTATTGTTTCATAACACGTTGTCAGCACGAGACTCTAACCAATTGAATAGAAGCTTTGGGATTGAGCATAATGATTGTCAATTATTCCATGAACTTCCTTCATGATTAAATTCTGGATTTAAGGTAAGTATTTTACTGTATTTTTCTCTTTTATTCTATACTTTGATTTTAAATACAAGCAAAGACAATAAAGTTTGATTATAACTCTAATGGAGTTTGTAAGAAATAATAACCACCTGAAGTGGTAAAATTTCTATGCCTCGCCACGATCAAATTCATGTATGATTGTGGGCAAAGAATTGAAAACCCGTCCCATTGAATTTGCTCCATTCTATTTCCCTTAAGAGAATGTGATAGCAGTATGTGATAAGTCTGAAAGAAGACAAAATTATTACTATGAATGTATCAATGGATATGGACGTGGCAATAGACGAAATTATAATCGTCATCATTTGTGGTAATGAGAACAATAAGGATTCTCAAAATAATCTTTCAATCTGTGAAAAATATTTGTCATCGATTTGACATGAGATTTTGTAAAGCACATATAGATGATTATGGTCCATTCATGATGTGAATGTGACAACATCTAATTTATGAATACATATTCATTCTTCAAAGAATATGAACGTGCTAGTGGTAGTGAATATACCGCACTCACCTCTAAAAGGAGGTTTGAGATGATATAAGAAAATAATATCATTATTATGGCATGAATGGTCATTGGTCACGTACCTATCGTACGCCAAAATATTTTGGCATTATGATTGTTAAAAGACAACGGTAATGCAAGAAACAGATTTTGCATATAATTTTGACCATAACCATAATGGTATAACTTTCTCTTTAAAAGAGATATTCACCATATAGGTGTTGATGAATATGTGGTACTACAAAATTAATTAAAAGCTCTGCAAGAGCCAATTATACTATTTTGGAGAAACACAATTAACTACCAATAAGGTATTGTGTTGTAGTAAGTCTCAAAGAAACTTATTCAGTTTCCAAAGTATACGCGAAAGCGGTGATTATATTGAGACTATAAATAAAGGAAAGATTTAATATCTTCTATTACTACAACTTGTAGCGGGCTAATGTGTATGTGAAAAGCTACCCACTTTATTCTCCAATTTGTACTACATAAACAAAAGAATACCACAATGAAGTGGATATTTATTGATATAAAAACCCATATCATAATAAACTTGGAGTTTATTCATTATTGAACACATCATGGTGTAAACCTGAAGTTTATCAATATTGATAATTTATCCAGTTGGCATAATTGGTTTAGCCATGTTAATTCAAGTATGATGTGCAAAAATAAAAGAGAATTCACATGGGTAAATATTAAAGAACTAGAAAGTTCTTTACGAATTCTCTTACATTGCTTGTTCTCATTAATTAATAGACCAACTAAAATTGGGATCGAATCCCATGAATGCTGGAAATATCAAAGGTGAATATGGGCTCATTCACCTGCCATGTATACCACATAAGATACATCTATGAGATGGTTACATGTGCGATTATTAATAACCCGCAAGATGGTGTTTGCGAGGTAACTTGCTCAATAATTTGATTTAGAGCATAATTTCCAGATTTTTTATTCAAGATAGTTCTTCTTGATAAGTTGGTTTACATCACAGTTGGTTTAGCAAAATAATTTATTGAGTGCCTCCACTTAATAGCTAAACTATTGCTTATGAGAACAAAGTTATCTATATCAGTTTGATATAGGTTATATACGAAAGTATATTACATTCTCGCCTCACAAGTGGTTTCAGGGTCAGGAACCAAATAATTCTATCTCATTATTATTGATGTGCGGTGTATATTTTGATTAACACCATAACGCACAAAGATGGGTTCTCAAAGTTGAGGAAACAAGTTAGTTTTTCTAACATGAGGGGGAGACAAGATACAACAGTTGAGAAAAAGTTACATGGAATGAATTATCATTTATACATCTAGATCCCCGAATAAAATAATATGAACTTGAAGTTCATAAAAGGATAATTCATGTGCAATTTATTGCAAAGCATGCCAGACGCATTTGCTGACCCAAAGAAAGTAACTATATTCTCATTGCAAATGCTCCTATTAGAATAAGTCCTAGAAGGACAAAGTCTATAGTACGCTTAAAGCATATAGACAATTCGGTTTCAAATAAACTTCTTGATAAAGAAGATGGGCAAATGATCAAATGATTATAATAAAGGAGGCAAGTGATCTAGAAGATCACATGACATAACACTTCATAAAATCTCAAGAGAGATTCAGGTACCTAAAAATATGAATGAAGAGATCTCTATGTTATGTCTTTATGAAAAAATATTGAAACTGATATAAATGTTTGTCGACGACATCTATGATAGCGCTAAATATATACATATGAGGATCTTAAGTCTGAAGAAACAATTCAAATAAAATTGGTTTCATATGAAAGCCATGTAGTTTTGAACATGTAGTTCAAACACTTGAAAGTATAAGTCA